GAATTCATACTACTCGTAGTACTACTTGTTTGTAGAATGGGCATTACGTGGTTATTCCACAGAAGTTGATTTTCTTCGACTCAGATGTTCATTGAAATTTCGGTTCTGACCCTAAAAAGTCATGTTCCGGAGATTTAACTCCAAGTCCTGCACTGATTAATTTCTGAAATTATTCACCTGATTATTCTCTGGAGGTCATATACCAGAAAACGCTAAAGAACGCTGGGGGTCCCAATGAAGAGCCGAGCCCCTCGCAGCTGTGTCACGCAGCGGCAGAATATCGGCGAAACACGTGTCTGGGCTTTTAGCAAGTATCTATGTCGGGAGTACGGTATAATACATTTATATATATATATATATATACGGATGGGCGCTCACCGATCAGGTTACAGAACATGCTCGTTCTGTTGTGCCTTGGGGCTCATACTTAAACCCTCGCAGGCAGTCGCACAGCGACTAGTAGTAGATATAGATGAGATGGTACCGACAAAGACAAGGGAGACCGGAATGGCCATTTCTGGCTTATTAGCCATCGTCAGCCAGCCATACCCAAGCCCGAAGTGTGGAACACCCGAGCCTCGAACTCGCGACCTGTTGGTTTAGAAGCCAGAAATGGTCATTCGCGTTGACTTCTAAACCAACAGGTCGCGAGTTCGAGGCTCGGGTGTTCCACACTTCGGGCTTGGGTATGGCTGGCTGACGGCGGCTAATAAGCCAGAAATGGCCATTCCAGTCTCCCTTGTCTTTGTCGGTAATGCTATTCTGCCTATATATCATGCGCCGCTGTGCGGCTGCTGGTTGGGCTCGAGAGAGAGTCCATAAGGCACAACGGAACGAGTGAGTTCCGTATGAACGATCGGTGAGCGCCCCCTAACATTGTATATTCCCGATCGAAAACCGACAAGGCAACGGGCTCGTGGCCCGGTGAGTAGAGGCGTTGACTTCTAAACCAACAGGTCGCGAGTTCGAGGCTCGGGTGTTCCACACTTCGGGCTTGGGTATGGCTGGCTGACGACGGCTAATAAGCCAGAAATGGCCATTCCAGTCTCCCTTGTCTTTGTCGGTAATACTATTCTGCATATATATATATATATATATATACGACAGCGTTTTATGCCCTTCTCCCAATAAAGGTACTAGGAAAATGCCGGTGACGATTCTACGAGGAGTCCGGCTCCTCAGTTGGTCACTCACAGCATTCTGGTCCATGAACTTCAGAAGAATATCAAACTAATAATTTCAGTAATTATTAATAATGGGACTTGATTTAAGTGCCCGGAACATGACTTTTTATGGTAAACTCCAAAATGTAAATTAGTATTTGAGTTAAAGACAATCAGATCCTGTGGAATAGTTCTGCAAATCCACTACTTACAATTTTATATGACAATGGTTTATGCCGTGCTTCATAAAAACCATGTTCCGGGCACTTAACCACAAACTCTGACCTCAATAATTTATGAATTCATTAGCATAATAGTTATCTGAAGTTCATTAATCAGAAAATATCATACTTAACGCTAGGCGAACCACTGAGAAGCCGAACCCAACAGTTGCATCACGCAGCCGCCAAAATATCGACGAAGCGCTTGTCTGGGTTTTTTTGCTATTAGCTGTGTTGGGAGCACGGTATAAACCATTCCCATATGAAGTTATACTATTAATAGTAGAACTCAATGATGGGATGGAAACTGTTGAGTTATTCAACAGGATTTGATCACCTTAAGCGTTCACTGACGTTCTTCGAGGTGCTCGACGTCAAGTTCTGCCTTTCACAAATGCTGCAGTTCCAAGCTGGGAGATGATGAACGCGATATACATATGTATATCTTGCTGGTGCTAACGGAAATTTCATCGCACCTTATTGCCTTGTCCTAGTTTATGTGGTCGTCGCGCCTTTCGGCACGCCCAGTGGAAGTCAGGGTTGCCATGACTACAAATGCTATAACAACCGGACACGAGAGGACAGGACCAAGTGTGTATGTGCGTGTATCTGCGAGTTATATATGGAGAGAACACCGTTACATTCGCGGATCAGCCAAATAGTGGGCCGCCGCTGCGCCACGGAATGGTGGACCCGGCAACGACCAGCTACTAACGCAGAAATTGACAGCTGGCTGTGGGCGCACTAAGAACTGCGCCTGACCTGCTGACAAAGACCCGATATGCCGGAACCTACCAACGTTAACCATTTGTTACGTCCTCTCCCTCTCTCTGCCCACCATAGAAATCAAAACGGTTCCGCCTCCCTGGACAGCCCTGAGTACCGGTAGGGAGACAACTGTCACCTATCGTGGTTGAAGGGAGCACTCTTGCGTCATCCGTGTGTGTGTGCTTGATCCACTGTGCCCGGATCAGGCGTGTGTGTGTGGAGCGCGTAGACAGGCTGTTTTACTTAGTAGGCCGCTATCCCCGATCCCCCCTTCCGGTCGTCCCGATGCAGTCGTGCCCTCGGGTCCAGGTGGGTGAGGCAGGAGAGAGGGGGGGAGATAACGGCAGATGATGTGCAAGTTCAATATCAGTATAAAGTACTTCACGAGCAAGTCATCCTTCCTCGTCCACAGTGGATATCTTCGCTCTCGACGGTCTAACTGACGTGTTGTGTGCATGTCTTGTTGAATGGCGGAGAGTCTGCAGGTGCTTAAGCAGAGTACTGGTAATCTGTACTGTTTCTTACGCCAGAGAGTGGTCCGGCCTGCTCTAGCATGGCCAGACCGGTTTCCAGTAGAATGGGATGCCGGCCAGTTCAAGACATCCTATTGCGTTCATTGCGTCAGAAATGGTTTTCTGATTTGCAAGCTCTAGCTTCATGTGACTTCAGCAGGGTATGCACTCCGGAGCTCTGTGTTCATACCAGCAAGCCCAGCCTACTTTACAATGGCAAAACAGACTGCACAGTTATCGAGCAATATGGTGAGACTGTTGAGGTTGAAGTGAGTTGGCTAACCTTTCCGAGGAAGGACTGAATTCCACCCGAGAGTAAGGGGATTCGGTTTAATTTCTCACTTAAATCCGGTATTATCCAGAATATTTCACTGTTATCATGTATAAATTAGAGAATGACAAACACAGAAGTCATTTGGTCTATCAACACTAATCCTAGGAGCGGCCTACTCTACCCTAACACAATCTGAACGATATTCTGTTTTTCGTCCTGGTAGACACTTAATTTAAACACATATACATAAACAATCTAATAATTGGGACTAGGTGGACGCCCTGAATCGTTCACTATTGGCTGTATATGCTCAGTAGGTGTCAAATCTGATGAAATTTGAAGCATAATTCCGAAACAGATCTTTGCCAAGTGTAGAGTACTCGGGTTCAATTGTAAAAAAAGATTATTTTGCAACACACGAGAATACCCCTTCTTGTGCTAACTTGGTAGCCGCTCACGTCTTCTTCAGGCGTCTTATTTCAAGAAGGGATAGTTTTCAGTTTAAAAATGCGTAATTGTGAGATTTTTAAGACCACGAAGCGGTCATTCGTATGTTACTGTATCTGTCCGTTTGTTTATGTCCTTTCTGATCCAAATCCATCACAAGATTTTTTTGAGCCATATGCGGTATATTCTCAAAAACAT